GTAGCATCGCTATCTCTTGTGTATCGAGGCAGTTGGTTAGATAGTTCCTCTGACAGTTGGACTATTATATCTTCACTCAAAAAATTATTGTATTCTTATTTACTATTGAAGGTCTGTAAATAATCGAGTCTGGAGAAGACAATGCAATGATCAATAGCATGACCATCGATCTACTCTAATGGGATACGATTCCTGACCGCTCGATTCCGTTAGTCGCCTCTTACGACAAGCGTGGGTTGCTTAAGACCGATTCTATCCCGGATCTTCACGAATGGGTCGAAACTACTCGGATGAAGTGCACATCTCAAGCAAAGTATTTTCTGGTACAGATTTGGTTATTTACTGGCCTGAGTCCGATATTACTGAAGATTGTTGGGGGTAAACAGCAAGCTAACTTTTCTTTTGCTCATTTCAGAGTACCCATGGATAGGACTAAGAGATGTTTATGGAAACGACAGCTTCTACTGGACAGACAACACACTCCCACAATACACTGATTGGAAATTGTTCGAACCAAGTCACAGATTCGATTCTTATGACGAAGATTGTGTTCAATTACATTATTACTTTGGAAAATATGTGTGGAATGACATCTACTGTGATAAGCTCAATCAGTTTATATGTCAGTTATAAACCGTTATGGATATTGGTACCGTAGGTAAGTGGACAGAGCATTTGTCCACAAGGGCGGTGGTTCGATCCCTTGGTCGCGTTGTATCAGAAATATCCGGACTATTACAATGAAATGGAAAATGTCATGTCAATTTTCTTTACGGTAGACAAGCGACAGACATTTCTAAAATAGTCGGATGACGTTCATTATTTATGTTTGTACCTTACATGTATCATCCCGTGTTTCTTCATGCGGACACTTTACTTGCCTTGCGTGTGTTTACGACGAATTATCTGACAATTATCTGAGTAAGCTTCATGAAAGTATAACGTCTATTACACAACTACTCTTCGATAAACTTGATAATAACATTGAGGGGGCAATTGATGATTCTGTTCAAATAATGCTGGATTCATCTTCTTGTATGAGAAAATAATTAAAACATAACATAAATAAAAAGACCTCACTTAATGCTGAATGTAGAACTGCAAGACGGAACGCCCGCAAGACACTACGAAGATTTAGAATAACTCGTGCTAGTCTTGACCGAAAGAAATATTGTGAAAGTAGGAATAAATATAAGAATTGTTGTCGGAAATTCAAAGTTGATTTGGGTAGGCGTAAACAAGACAAACTGGTAAATTCTATGAACAACGCTTCATCATTCTGGAAAGAAATACCATACCTCAAATATCGGTCCCATGCTAAAGATAGCGTATCAAAAACACAGTGGCTTAGTCATTTTAAGAAGGTTTTTTTCAAATGAAACAATATTAGACATGGAAATTGATGACATGCAAAATGATTTTACTGAATGCTATACTGATGTTGATGAACTTCTGCTAGATTCACCCATTGTTGAAAGCTAAACATTTTGTTGAATAGATCACCTAAAAAAGGGAAAGGCCCAGATGATATAATTATTGAAATGTTGAAGTGTTCCAGGTTTGTAGTTAAGCCTTTACTATGCAAATGCTTTAATAAGCTATTTGAAAAAGGTATTTACCCAAACAGATGATCATGTTCTATAACAATTCCACTGCATAAAAAAGGTGACCGGAGTGACCCAGACAACTACATGGCATGGTATTTCATTGATGAGCATTCTAGGAAAAGTGTTTACAACAATACTAAATAATACAATTTCTAAATGGGCGAACATGCGTGATAACATTCCTGAATTTCAAGCTGGCTTTAGAAAGAATTATTCCACATCAGATCATATATTTACTCTTTATGCACGTATCCAAAAGACTTTGTCACGACGAAAGCATAAATTGTGTGTAGCATTTGTAGATTTCAAAAAAGCTTTTGATTCAGTTGACCTCTCTAGGCTATGGAAATTTCTTCGGAAAGCTGTACTACGGGGGAAAATGTTGCTATTATAAAAGCAATATATTGTAATGTGACGTAGCAGGAAGGGTGAAACAGATATCTGTGATTGTCCTTTGGGTTTACGACAAGGCTGTATTCTGAGTCCTGTCTTATTTTCATTTTTCATTAATGAATTATATATTGAAATAGCTTCAAATGGTAAACATGGTATACAAATGTTTCCAGACCTAATAGAACTTTTGATGTTACTTTTTGCAGACGATGTCATTTTAGTGTCAGAAACTGTGGTTGGTCTCCAAAGACAACTAAATATTCTAAATGCATACACAAAAGAATGGAAATTATCAGCGAATCTAGATGAAACTAAAATTGTGATCTTCAGGAAAGGTGGTCCAACAGCGCTGAAAGAAAGATGGTTATTTGATGGTCAGTTAATCCATGTAGTGGATCATTATTCATATTTAGGAATCTGGTTTTCACACACAATGAACTTGAAAAAATGTACCAAAGATTTATCATTGCGTGCAAAGAAAGCTTTAATAAGTGTAATGTCTTTTGTCCACAAAGTTGGAACCATGTCACCTAAAATATTCTTTAAGCTCTTTGATAGCCAGATACAACCAATATTATTATATGGCTCGAAGTATGGGGATTTCAGCGGTATGAATGTTTGGAGAAGGTCCACTTATTAGCATGTAAAAGATTTCTTTGTGTTGGATCCTCTACACCAAATTGCATGGTATATGGTGAATGTGGTAGATACCTATTATATATTAATTTCCAAATTAGATGTTTAAAATATTGGTTCAAACTTCTTCATATGCACGAGCAACGTCTTCCCAAAGTAGCTTATAACATGCTTTTACATTTAGATAACATGGGAAAAATTACATGGGTATCGCATATAAGGAATCTTCTATTTTCCCATGGTTATGGTTTTATATGGTTATGTCAGTCAGTTGGAAGTGTAGACATGTTTCTTAAAGAATTTAGAACTCGGTCTGTTAATATGTTTTACCAGGAATGGAATTCCACTTTAGAAGATAGTTCAAGATATGCATATTATACAACCTTCAAGACCTTACTTCAACCAGAAATTTATTTATTAATACTCACGACGGAAAATTTAAAGACTCATTTTATTAAATATCGACTAGGTTTGTTAGACCTTTTTGTAAATGAAGGAAGAAAACATTCCATTGCAAAATCGAAACGAATCTGTCAGTTATGCGATAGAGAAATAGAAAATGAAATTCACTTTGAGTTCGTCTGTCCATTTTATAGTGATCTTCCAAAGAAATATATTAAAGATTATTTGATAGGGATGCCGCCACTGAAAGCTTTCGTATATATTTTTAACGACTAAGAACGAATCCCGTATATTAAACCTTTCACTATATATTAAACATGCACTAGTTAAAAGAAATGAACTGTTTAAAGAACGTGTTACTTCCTGTGTGTAACAGTATGATGTGTATATACTCCCTTGTATATGGGCCAGAGGCCTTCTGTACAATAAACCTTTTTGACTTTGACTTTGACTTTGACTACAAGTGAAACAGGATATCTTCGCCTCTGCGAGCACCTGATGTGATCACTATGAGATAGTAATTCATAGATACATAAAATATGTTACGGTCGTATGTGCAGTGTACTTTTAATGTATATTTAATTTATTTTTGTGTGTCTCTTTCACTATCTGTAATACAATAATATTTGTAAAAACTGTTACATTAAGATTTCTTTCTGTCAAGTGAGATTAAATAAACTCGTTAATATTGCAATAATGTTTTCCGTTTTTCGGTATTAATCTCTGTAGATGTTTGGCCTGTAACAAATCGTTAGAATGAAAATGTTTTAGAATTTCAGCATAATCTGAGCCCTTCCGTCTTGTCTGAACCACACCTTGAACACTGGTTTGGTTAGATCACAACGTAATGTGAAGGAAAACGGAAATGAGTGAGTGAGTGAGTTTAGTTTTACGCCGCACTCAGCAATATTCCATCTATATGGCGGCGGTCTGTAAATAATCGAGTCTGGATCAGACAATCCAGGGATCAACAGCATGAACATCGATCTGCGCAATTGGGATGCGGTAACATGTGTCAATCAAGTCAGCGAGCTGACCACCCGATCCCGTTAGTCGCCTCTTACGACAAGCAGCGGTTAGATCGATTCTAACCAGGATCAATTCTTCACGGGTCGGAAAATGATGAAAGTATTGGACGTAAATGTATACGAAACAGAACCCGCATACACCGAGATTCAAACCCACAATCACATGTTTCTATCACGCCATGACGACCATGCTGGTTGGTCCTTATCGGTAATTTCGATAGATCCGTATTTGTACAGAACATATGCCTTGCGAAAAAGTGAAAGATATGTATTTTACAAAACCAAAATCATAAAACTTGAATACCATAATTGTCAAGCTCTCTGTAAGTCGCAGCGTGGGTAGCCTAGTGGTTAAAGCGTCCCCTCGTCATGCGGAAGACCCGGGTTCGATTCTCCGCATGGGTACAATGTGTGAAGCCCATTTCTGCGGTCCCCCGCCGTGATATTGCTGGAATATTGCTGAAAACGGCATGAAACCACAGGCACTCACTTTGGGCGTCCATAGCGGGCAAATACGTTGCCGCCAGGCCACTAACGTGCTTCATCTTCAGCTGTTTCAAAAGATCTTTTGTTTGCTTTATGTCGTCTTCTATGACGGATGCAGTGCAAACTTACACACCGCGTTTTCAGAGATGTAGCCTTTCACCAGGAGTTTTCATACATTATAAGTGTAGACATACTTGGTCCTCATCTACACGATCTCTCACTACACCCAGGTCAACTTTAGTTTCACTACCCTCGTGAATATTTACAGAAGGCCGCCATATGGCCGGGTTATGTCTGCATGCAGCGTTAAACAACAGACAAACCTAAAATATCTGTACTTTAAGGTATGAAAACATTCAAAAGCCATTCACTACAAATGGTATATAACGTTGAATATACACGTTGAAATCGGGTTGGCGACATTTTGCATGGTAAATATATGAGTGACACATCTGACTGTGTGGGGAAGAGTCTCGCGTGACTACCGAGTACAGGATAAGGCAGTTAACACTTGCTCCTCAAGCGGAAGGTAAGATGTGACAACTTGGGGGCGCACGTGTATGATGCTGTTTCAGAATCAGAATCGGTAATAGGTAACTTGTATATAATGCTCGTCGCAGGAAAATAGGATCCGCTGTAAGAGTCTGTTTGCGAGTAACTGTACCATATGGTGTGGGTCATTGGTCATGAATTGTCAGGTGAATGCGTCGGATCCGTTGATTCAGTGACATGGATATACTTCTGTGAGTGAGTGAGTGATCGAGTGAGTGAGTGAGTGTATTTTTACGCTGCACTCAGCAATATTCCAGCAATATGACGGTGGTCTGTAAATAATGGAGTCTGGACCAGACAATCCAATGATCAACAGCATGAACATCGATGTACGCAATTGGGATACGATGACATGTGTCAACCAAGTCAGCGAGCCTGACCACCCGATCCCGTTAGTCGCCTCTTACGACAAGCATGGGTTACTGAAGATCAATTCTAACCCAGATCTTCAGGGGTGATATAGTCCCATAGAGCATCATGTCAACACAGAATACTAAAGTGTAAATACTTCCAGGTGAGACTCGGATTTTAACAATCAACCTTCACATTTCCTATATTTCTCCACAATCGTATAATGATCATTGTCGTGTATCTGGGGTACCTGAATCTGATTTTTTCAGCTTGATGTAGGGTAGGAGTGAAATGTAATGGGTAGGACGATTTAGAAACCTCCATCGGTATGAAGGGTGAGTGAGTGAGTGAGTTTGGTTTTATGCCGCTTTTAGCAATGTTCCAGCAATATCACGGCGGGGGACACCGGAAATGGGCTTCACTCATAATACCCATGTGGGGAATCGAACCCGGGTGTTCGGCGTGACGAGCGAACGCTTTAACCACTAGGCTACCCCACCGACCCCGATATGAAGGGAGGGAATGATGTTTGTGTGTATGACTGTGTGAGCATGTTGGTATGTTTATGTGACTGTGAGTGTGTTTGTGTGAGTGTGTTTGTGTGGTGAGTGAGTGTGAGTGTGCATGTTTGTGTGTGTTTTGTCTGTTTGCGTGAGTGAGTGGGTGTTTCTGAGAGGGTTTGTGTGTGTTTTTGAGTGAGTGTTTGTGTCTGTGACTATGTATGTTTGTGGGAGTGTTGTTTGTGTGAGAGAGGGCGTGTGTATGTGTGTTTGCATGAGTGTCTCTGTGTGTGTGTGTGTGTGTGTGTGTGAACGAATAGTTACAATCATATTAGTATATCAACGAGTATAAGTGTATATTAATCAATTTAAAATTGAACGTACATTAAACTAACGAGGTCTTCAAATTCTGTAGATGTGTGTTTAGGGATAGCCGTTCCTACCTGAATGGAACAGTTTGGGCATGAAATAGGGTTTAGGACATCAAATAGGGTTTAGGACATCAAATAGGGTTTAGGACATCAAATAGGGTTTTCATGATTAAAGTCTTTGGTATTAAGAAGTGATACACATAAAGGCAAGACGTTTTTATGTCTACTTCTTTATTTTGGGGAACACAACGTTTTGGAGTAAATTTTTCGGAGTATCCTTCATATGATGACGGAATAAGAATATACTCTGAAACGTCGTATTCCTCAAAGTAAAGAAATTGACATCCATAAAATTCTTGCCTTTATTATCATGATTTATTTTGTAGGGTCTTTTCAGTTTTTAGCAAACAGGTCCTGTATCTTCGAGTTTTGAACTCCATCTGCTCACTGCACATGCCGTTCTTGCTGCACTGCCAGCATGGTGTTATTTGCAAGTTCTGGACACCGGCTCCACAGTAGTCCTATTCCAGAATTACATGCTTAAAACTTCACATAGCAAATATGTAATTATAAAATGTAAAAATATACCTAATGTATCTATGTTCCAACTAATGGGCTATAATTTGTCATTGGAGATTCCATTATCGGGAGGCGCTAGTTTAGCTGTGCATTTCACCACAAATGAGCCTGTTGTATACTCACAATGGTCTCCACACAAAGGAAATGGTATTCTCACTTTGTGCTACTGAAATCGCTAATGCGACGTAAAACCATATTCATTCATTAAAATAGTTTAGTATCTTGCCATCTACATCGATTTCATGGTGTGACCTTCTGATTAGATTTTCGCCGCGAATATCTGCCAAATTGCTGATGCAGCGTAAAGTAATGTTTACTCACTCACTCTGAAAAGATTCCCACATATTGTGTTTTTTCCAAAGTAATACTCTTAAAACAGGAACCTCTAAAATGAAGCTTTGTTTGTTGTTTAACGCCGCACTCAGCAATATTCCAGCAATATGGCAGTGGTCTGGAAAAATATCGAGTCTGGACCAGACAATCCAGTGACCAACAGCATGGGCATTGATCTACGCAAATGAGATACGATGACATAGGCTCTTTGACTTGGTTGACACATGTCATCGTATCCCAAATAGTAGATCAATGCTCATGCCGTTGATCATTGGATTGTCTGGTCCAGACCAAATTATTAACAGACCGCCGCCATATAGGTTGAACACTGTGGCGGCGTTAAACAACCAACCAACCTGCATGAGAATTCTGTGTGACCACACCGTTTATTATTTACTCAATTGTGATATAGTTGGGATACGTCCAAAATCTCATATCAGATAAACGGTTTAATCTGACCTTACATAATCTGAATAACGGTACAAATACACTGCATATTAGAAACATGTATCAAACTCGCCCAATCTCTATGTATGCTTCTTTTCTGTATCTTCATAGGATTCTTCCACAATGCCAGTGTTGCTTCTGATGCCATTGCTGTTGGCTACTTGCCATATTTTACCGGCGGTGTCCAATACTGACCGGAACAGACCAGATGGAGTCCCCACTTTCACTGCGTCACAGAAGATGATGATATATTCCCGGGCCGAGATGCGTCTCCAGGAGGAGCTGAGGGAGGAGGGCAACTTCAGATCATCAGGTAAACAGTTACAGTTGAATCACACGTGAGTCTAGGGATTCTGGTCCCAACATAGGAAGAAATAGGACATTTGGTTAGTGTGACTAGGTGTGTCTGGGGATTCTGGTCCCAACATAGGAAGACATATGACATTTGGTTAGTGTGACTAAGTGTGTCTGGGGATTCTGGTCCCAACATAGGAAGAAATATGACATCTGGTTAGTGTGACTAAGTGTGTCTGGGGATTCTGGTCAAAACATAGGAAGAAATATTATATTTGGTGAGGTGAGGTGAAATTGGGTTTAACGTCGTGCTTGAGAATATTTCGCTCATAAGACGACGTGCATGCGTGTGTATGTTTATGTGCGGCTGGTTGTACTATCCCAGACTGAAGCTGGTTTTATAGTGTTAGCCCACTGAGATACCATGCTGCAGTGAAACATGAATAACCCACTCAAACACATTATACTGACTCCGAGCCGACCAGTCCTTGTTGTACCCATTAATGCCGAGGGCCAGGCAGGGACCAACAACTACCATATTTTAACGTCTTTTGGTATGACGCGGTCGGGGATCGAACCCGCGACCTTCCGCTCTCCGGGCGGACGCTCTAACCACTACAATTATATTTGGTACTATGTTAGGTTTTGTTTGCAGTTTGTTCCAACATAGGAAGAAAAATTACATTTGGTTGGTGTGACTAAGTGTGTCTGGGGATTCTGGTTCCAACACAGACAGAAATATTAGATTCGGTTAGTGTGACTAAGTGTATCGTGGGAAAATGGTGCCAACATAGAAAGAATTATTATATTTGGTACTATGTTAGGTTTTGTTCGCAGTTCGTCCCAACATCGGAAGAAATATGACAATTGGTTAGTGTGACTAAGTGTGTCTAGGGATTCTGGTTCCAACATACCATTTCCGGTGTACCGCCCTGATGTTGCTAGTTATTTTGCGTAAATCCTTACTCACTCAAAAAAAGGCGAAATGTCATGCTGATCTTTTCATATCATGAAACAGAATGCAGTGTCATACCTGCATGGCTTGTGACTTTCCTCTCACATCATGCTGAGACGCCAAATCAAGCTCATTCACAAACACGTTCATGTCTATTTCAGATTTGAAATTCTCGAAGCCAGGTTCAACTGCTGACCAACATAACAAGTTCACGTTTACTGCATCAGAGAGCGTTAAGCGAGGAAGGCAACATCGTCTTCACCTGCTGCAGGTTCAAGAGTTGGTGGAGGAGTAAGTTAACTTCTTTGAGTGCCAATGAGTGGCATTGTAGAAGTTGGAAAATGTGGAGAAGAGGAGTAAGTTGCAGTTGGCAACTCAGTTTATATGTGACAAAGTCCCCGTGTGATCCTTTTCCAAGCAGAATTAATTCCGGTTGAAACAATGTCGAAATTATTGCAACCTTTTTCAAACAGTTCTAATAAACAAACAATTCTAATACAAGCATCTTTCCTGATTAACAGTTGGCCGAGGAAAGCAAACTGACACGATTGTCTGCTTTGTGCATGGAAAAGAGAATTATGTATCCAGGAATACAATGTTGATTTTCTTTTTCGATTTACACATATTTTGATCACAAAGAAAGGGACTGAGCACAAGTTTTCACTACATAGGTAGTCCTCTCCCGAAAACCGTGAATATGGTAAGTCTTACACATTTGAAATGTGTACAAAGGACAGAATATACAGATTCAATAATTTAAGAACATTTCATTGCATAACAACGTTTAGCTGTCGTTTAACTTGCTGATGAGACAAGTGTTGGTGCGCGGTGGGGTAGCCTAGTGGTTAAGGCATTCGCTTGTCACGCCGAAGACCCAGTTCAATTCTCCACTTGGGTACAGTGTGTTAAGCCCATATCTGATGTCCCCTGCCGTGAACTTACTAGAACATGCTAAAACCATGCTCACTAACTCACAATTATTGGTATCTGTCAGGGGAAAAGTACAAAAGGCGGACATACCGGAGCTGCTTGCAAGAGGTTTGGGCCCAGAGATTACATGCACAAGTAATCTTGCTTGTAACAGTTCCTACGAGTTCCGGACACCTGACGGCAGCTGTAACAACCTTAAGCATCCTACGTGGGGGATGACGCTCACACCGATGAGGCGGTGGCTGGACCAGGAATATGATGATGGTAAAGCGTATGTTGTATATAAAAATATGTTTGTGTGTAGCTGCAGTTTCCTATTCTAATCGATGCTGGTTTTATAATGCTAGCAAACTGAGATACTATACCAACGACACATATCATACTATCTCCATAAGCATCCCAGAAGATCGGGGTTAGAATTGGTCTTCAGCAATCCATGCTTGTCGTTAGAGGAGACTAAGAGACAGTATCGGGCGGTCAGGCTCGCTGACTTGGTTGACCATCGGTCATCGGATCCCAATTGCGTAGATCGATGCTCATACTGTTGATCACTGGATCGTCTGATTATTTATAGACCTCCAGACTCGATTATTTATAGACCTCCACCATGCAGCTGGAATATTGCTGCGTGCGGCGTAAAACAGCAAAGAAAAAACGTTACCATCCAGTAACATATTGATAGATGTAAATATATTTTGGTTTGCGTCAAGTAACTCATTGTTGTATGTTTATACGACACATTGGGAATACATTGGATTGACTGCAATAAGTATAACCTGTATGATGTCTGTTCTCATTGAAACACATTTATTTGTTTGTATAGCGTTTGGATTTTTAGATTTTTTATACATTTCGGTAATATTTGTCCAGTATTATACTCGCCTTCATTTATTGGTGGAATTACCCTATATCCTTTCGAAACAGTGAAGACCTCAGGCTGATTATGTTGACATCAAAAGGTTGTTCCTATTTCAGACAAGAATGCTTTTTTCGTTTGGTTTTTTGTTTGTTTAAAAATATAGTCCCTGTATATCACAGCTGCATGTAAATAGTCGAGACAAGCAATGCTAAAGTGATCGTGTAAGTGTGAACTATAGTGTACACCCACCAATGAACTCGCTGTTCCTGTTGCAGTTTCACATGTTGCACGTTAGGTCATGTCATTCAGTTATTAGTTCCGTAGACTCCTACTCTTGCAATTCTCAGGAATTTCCTCTCCAAGAGTTAACGCAATTGGAGGAGGGGACTTGCCCAGTGCCCGCCTGGTCAGCACGACCGTTCACACCCCGTCAACTGAAGCTGACCTTCACGTCAACTACACCCACATGCTGATGCAGTGGGGTCAGTTCCTGGATCACGACATCACCAGCACACCGACACAACAGCTGGAAGTGACGGAGGACGATGGTTGGTGCCTATGGTGGTAGTAAAGGGAAAAGGATAACGGATAATAGAACCATGCTGTGCTAGTGTAATGAAGGAGGGTAACATACATATAGGGATAGCGAATATGGTATGGTTCTATACACAGAAGTTAATGGTATGTTTTTATGCTGACACAGGAAGAACGCAAAAGGGACCGTTCAAAATTTATGGCTAGGGGGTGAGGATGATTTTAAGGGGGGTCACCCATTTTGTTCTGGGGAGGTACGGGAGGGTCATCAATTTTGTACACATGGACTGAGGGTGGGGGTGTGGGGTGCTTACTTTGTACATAAGGGGACATTTTTAGGGGATGGGGAGGGATCATTCACATTGTACATGCTTCTCCATAAAAGTCACTATCAACACACACACACAGACACAGCCTTAATTTATTATAAATTATGAACGGTCCCTAACAAGCACAGGGAAAGACGGTAATTGTTCATTCCTCTTTGATATGATAATAGGGATCTCTGTATTTGGGAGGGAAAATGTTGGTGGGATGCCAGCACAAGGGATGGAGGATAATGAAAGGGGTTATATGCTGGCATATGCAGAATTGTATGAGTCTTCATGTTGAACGAATAACGTGAAACTATGTGACCCAACTACCACACTTTTGTTCTATTTTGCAACCATATGATATTGTATGTACACGGTGAGTACAGATCAACAAATTCAAATCGTATAAAATGCGCTATAATAGTGCTACCATATTAAAACGATTTTCAGCCCTCAATGAGACTCATTTTTTAGTTTTACAGTCAGGAAATACATTCCCTACAACAACCATAACAATGGGCGGATAACAATTATGCTAACAATCTAAGGATGAACAACTTCTCTATTCTGTTAGAGCAACGTTCCCATACAGTGTTATCCTTCCTTACTGCTCCATCCGGTATAGAATATTGATCTTCAGTAACTCATGCTTGTCGTAAGAGGCGACTAACTGGATCGGGTGGTCAGGCTCGCTGACTTGGTTGACACATGTCATCGGTTCCCAATTGCATAGATCGATGCTCCTGCTGTTGATCACTGGATGTCTGGTCCAGACTCGATTATTTACAGACCGCAGCCATATAGCTGGAATATTGCTGAGTGCGGCGTAAAACTAAACTCACTCACCCCTTACTGCTCCAACTCCTACATGCCTCTCAAAGAAGTTGAAAATAGTTCGACCATTTAGTTTCAATGTCATTTGGGGCGGTGGGGTAGCCTAGTGGTTAAAGCGTTGGCTCGTCACGCCGAAGACCCGGGTTCGATTCCCCACATTGGCACAATGTGTTAAGCCCATTTCTGGTGTCCCCCGCTGTGATATTGCTGGAATATTGCTAAAAGCGGCGTAAAACTAAACTCAGTCAGTCAGTCAGTCAATGTCATTTGCTTAAAACAGTAAATAGAGCTTCAAGGATAAGCGGAATAAACAATTGCTTAATGAAATATTGTAAATATGTACATTATTTGTTGCAGAAAATTAACAATTTGCATATGCATAATTATGTTTCCAGATGCCCACCAAGGCAACATTGTTTCCTTAACGAATGCTCCACAGTGGTTTTCCGTTCATTTTCAGGATCTACTACAACTGCAGCGACACTTGATTGCTGTGGATCTCAACAGTCTAACAGGTACAGATATATCTCAGAGAAATATAGCGATACATTATTTTCCATATTCATGAGAAATCTCTGCTCATAGCTTCCCCACATAAAGCTCAAAATTACGCTGGTCAGTCAAGGACTGGCTGGCTCGGAGTTTGGTGAGTGGTATGTCAGTGTTGATTGTGGAATTGTAGAATTGCGTCTCAGAGGGCTTCCGCTATAAAACTGAATGTTGTCCTGTTCAGTACACGCAAGTTCGTGTGGGTACTCACTTACACATTCATACCCACACGCTTTCATCATCTCGCACTATAAGACTTAAACATGAAACTGACATAAAACCCAACCAACCAATCATGAGCATTCATTAAACATCGTCAATGTATGTGTTCAAAAAACATTGAGCGTATCCTGCCCCACCGGTAGCACCCGTCCACAGTACTCGTGACTATTCATACACATCAAACACAGCTGAGCGAATGTCGCATCGTTTTTGTATTCTGAATTGCCTTTCATCGTAGGTCCACAGTATGACTAAGATCTACATTCGAACCCCTTGGCTGATTCTCAAATACACGTGGCATGTTTGCAGTCTTCGCTAGGTCTTTGTTAGACATCATCAAACGTAAAGAATAATAAGATGTTAGAGTAAGCGTCACCTTCACCTTCCATACTGTTTATATAATCTTGAGTTTATTGATACAGTCGGGTGCACGAAAACTAAGATTAAAGATGGCCAACATGTTTTCCTTGGTGCGCGAGGTCACCGCCTTACGCAATATCTCGGCAATATCACGGTAGGGGGTTCAGAATATGGGTTGACGAACCTACCTTGAAGTGAACTTTTTACCACTGGTGCGCATATAAGTCCTAACAGTTCAATTCATCTATTCCCTAACAGCTCTAGTGTATGTACCCAATACTTTGGTTTATGCGTTGTACATGTCCAAATCTAACATTTCTATCTCTTACAATACCTTTTCGCTCATTTAACTGTGGTTAATGCTACACCGAAGACCCGGGATCGTTTCCCCACATGGGTACAATGTATGGACCCCACGTGTTTCGGTGTTACCTTTTGCTTGAATATTGGTCTCGGCGTAGAATCTCAAACACACGATTTTAGTTTCTTTGTGTCATGGGAGGCGGTGCCACCAAAGTAAACAGCAGCAGTGCATTGCTGCAATTCATGAGTACTAGATGCATTCAAAAGTTCATAAAACATTTGTTCAAGTAATATTTTATCACAGCAAATGTTATTATTTAATCTTCAACGCATTGACCGTTAAAATCAGTTCAAGATCAGCCCATTTCTTTTGCAGACCTCAATGCTTTTCAATTGAAATCCCAGAGCGAGACCGACACTTCAGTTCTAACTGTATGAACTTTGTGCGTTCTGTTCAAGTGGAAAACTCCAAGTGTCAAGCAGGTAGGCACTTCCCTTGTAGACGTGGTCGTGTTGGTGGAGTAATTACACAGGAAGGTTTTCATATATATCCAGAGTCTCTGATTAAACACAATGTGACAAAATTAACATAGCGTCAGCATATTTAGACGAAACGCTAGTCTATCTCTAAGTATTATACATGTATATATGTTCACGGTGTCAACACTTGAAATTCATGCCACGCCCTTTTGTGCACTTTCGTTCCATTTACATCACTACAACAAATTCAGACGAAACGTTAGTTTATCCCTAAGTATTATATATGTTACGGTGTCAAAACTTGAAATTCATGCCACGCCCTTTTGTGCACTTTCGTTCCATTTACATCACTACAGCTTCGATGGAACAGCATATTTAGACGAAACGTTAGTTTATCCCTAAGTATTATATATGTTACGGTGTCAAAACTTGAAATTCATGCCACGCCCTCTTGTGCACTTTCTTGCCATTTACATCACTATAACTTCGATGGAACAGAATATTTAGACGAAACGTTAAAACGTCACAATTTAATTCTGGAAACCAAAAAGACCAGACACTCTCAGCACTGTGGCTACATTCTGACAAAGGATTTGACAAAATTCAACATGCAGTTATCATGAATATATACTATGGATGAAAAAATAACAAAAAAGTCGAAAACTTAAAATTTAAACTACCTCGCCAATGGGCAAGAATATCAACTTTTGCTCAAAATTCAATATTTGGAGGTTGTAGATGAATGAAAGAATGTTTCTAGGTATCATAATTCGGCTATGTTATCATGACTTAAAATTTAACTCAGTTTAACTCATTTTGATGTAAATTCGGCCATTTTAGAGCGTTATTAAAATATCTTGCCATGTAATTCGGTATGAGGGCGTCGTCCATGGACAAGAATATCTCCTTTTCCCCAAAATATCTACTTTTGACCAAAATACATGTTTTCGAGGTTGTAAATGAGTGAAAGTATGTTTGAGAGAATGATGGCACAAAATTCAACTCATTTTGATGTAATTCGGCTATGTTAGGGCGTTATTATTATTTCTCGTCCATGGACAAGAATATCTCCTTTTCCCCAAATTCATGTTTTCGTGGTTGTACACTTCCTATATATTGTATATACTGAAGGTGTTAAGATTTTGTAATTAATACAACGTCCTCTTGTACACCTTATTTACATTTACGTCACATACAGCTCCCGTGGAACAGCTGAACCAGATCACAGCCTACATAGATGCTTCAAATGTGTATGGGTCGTCACTGGAAGAACAGAACAAACTACGGTCATTTGTTGACGGTGGGTGGTTGATCTCAGTATTGCTGGGGTGACGCTCAACACGGATCAATAGATGTACGAGTAGGTCACTGATAGTAACAGATACTTCCGGGTTTGAAACTGGCGTTTGAAACGATCAATAAACTGAAGTAATGTCTCTGCAGCCAAGAAGTAATGGTAACTGGATTTTTAAACAAGCCCAAAATATAATACGACCTTAAAGGCTGATGAGCACAAGACATTAGATAGTGTGTGAGCTGGCGTTTTATTGGCTACTTAGTATGTGTGATTATCGATAGTTAAGCAATTGACTTCCGTTGATAAATACGCAGCGCAAAATACAGGAAGTACCAGATTCGTCCACTTTGATGGGTTTTTATTGTTTGGGTGCAGACTTGCAGTTTCATTGGGTTTATGTTTTAACTGTTTACTTGATCTGGGTTTCAAGTTTCTTGTCAGTTATTAAAAGAGACTGAAACTACTTCAACTTGTTTATATTTCATATAAACTAAACATTCATTTGGGAAATGACTTCAAATGAGACGATTCAAGGAGAGAAAAAATATTGTGATAGTATTGCAATAGTTGGTCGCAATAGAGTATCGCTATCGCAATAGTTGTTTCCCCCTCAATAGTCACCCTTGTATTTGGACTGCAACAGGACGTGACAGATTGATGCTGTGGGGTGGTAGGTGGGGGAGGATGCTTGAGGTGGATGATTGGGAATTGGGGAGAAGATACAGTCTTCATCTTATTCGTTGATTTGATATCTAGTTGTTTAAGTATCAATGCTATTAGTAACAGTTATAAGATAAACATTAACAGACATCTAGATTTACCTTTATTGTCCGTGGATTTTCATCTATGGTTGTTGAGAACTCAGATGTTTAAGAAGATGTAACCTGTTTTGATTATATAGTGTGTATTTATTTCAGGATTACTGAAAACAATTGAAAACCATCTGCCTGAAGCCGAAGTTGGTGGAGATGAATGTACAACACCAGACAGCCCCAGTTATTGCTTTTTGGCAGGTAAATAAGTTGATATGTCTATACGGAAAAGAGAACCAATGTGCTTTTATTTAGTTTTCTAATACTTTTTGTGAACGGATAGCGTAGACGAAGATCGCAGCACCACTAATATGCCCCTTTAAATTGTATAATTAACTGTAAGTGATTGAAATGACTCTATTGTTCTTTGGTTTCGCTCTATCTTTGTCACCCGTGAAGGTCAGTGTTAGAATTGATCTTCAGTATCCCATGCTTCGTAACAGGCGACTAACGGGATCGGGTGGTCAGGCTCGCTGATGTGGTTGACACAACTGCGTAGATCGATGTTCATGCTGTTGTCTGGTCCAGACTCGATTATTTAAAGACCGCCTCCATACAGCTGGAATATTGCTGAGTGCGGCGTAAAACCTAACTCACTCACTCACTATCTTTGTCCGACAGATAACTGAATAAATGTCAGTTCGACAACACTTGGAAATGACGGAACTACCTGCTCCCCTATGATTTCAAGAAGAATATGGCGTAAAACGTCGCACAAATCTCTACCCGATTTCTAATAGCAGGGTTGGGCGGTGGGGTAGCCCAGCGGTTAAAGCGTTGGCTCGTCACGCCGAAGACCCGGGTTCGATTCGCCACATGGGCACAATGTGTTAAGCCCATTTCTGGTGTCCCCCGCCGTGATATTGCTGGAATATTGCTAAAAGCGGCGTAAAACTAAACTCAGTCAGTCAGTCAGTAATAGCAGGGTTCCTGACTTGCAGGTGACCACCGTATGAATGAGAACCCCACTCTACAGAGCATGCACTCCATCTTCATGGGAGAACAAGAGCTCTTATAAAAGAGCTGACCTGTAAACATTTCCAGAAGAAAGGCATTTGTTTTGGTTTTAGGTGACCAGTTTTGACATACATCATACTGTACAATTTATCTCTTAAGGTGACCACCATGTAAATGAGAACCCCACTCTACAGAGCATGCACACCATCTTATAAAAGAGCTCTTATAAAAGAGCTGACCTGTAAACATTTCCAGAAGAAACACATTTGTTTTGTTTTTAGGTGACCAGTGTTGACATAGAGATATTGTACAATTTATCTCTTAAGGTGACCACCGTGTGAATGAGAAGCCCACTCTACAGAGCATGCACACCAACTTCTTGAGGGAACATGAGCTCTTATAAAAGATCCTACCTGTAAACATTTCCAGAAGAAACACATTTGTTTTGTTTTTAGGGACCAGTGTTGACATACAGATACTGTACAATTTATCTCTTAAGGTGACCACCGTGTGAATGAGAACCCCACTCTACAGAGCATGCACACCATCTTCATGAGGGAACACAACCGTATTGCAAGGAGGCTGAAGCAACTGAACTGTCACTGGGGGGATGAAAGAATCTTCCAGGAAGCCAGAAAAATAGTTGGTGCCATAGTACAGGTGATTTATTATGATATAAGCTATATTGATTGACAATGATTTTGTGCTCATTGAAAGGATATAAAGTTGCTCTGAAAAAAGATACAGTGCTCATTAACGTCACAGAGGCGCCAATAAAATCAGCAGAAAGATTCTGTGCTCACTCAAAGTTATATACTGCACTGAAATTGGATACTGTGCTCAATTAAACGTTGTGGGTACATTGAGGATGAAATGAGTGAGTGAGTTAATTTTACACCACACTCAGCAATATTCTAGCTGTATGACGGCAGTTTGTAAATACTCGAGTCTGGACCAGACAATCCAATGACCAACAGCATGAGCATTGATCTACGCAATTAGGAAACGGTGACATGTGTCAACCAAAACAATGAACCTGACCACCCGATCCCGTTAGTCGCCTCTTACGACCAGCATGGGTTGCTGAAGATCAATTCTAACCCGTATCTTCACGGGTCTAAGGCTGCAATGAAATCGGAAAACGTGTCCTGTGCTCACTAATAAATGCTGTTCTTAAATCGAAAACAGGATCGACGTGAATTCGGTCAAATGCCACTTGGCACACTTTTTCACAGTCAGTGATTAACAATTACTACATGATTCTGATCAAACTTTATATTGGGGTAAATGAATCTGTACTTTTCTTTAAGGCTATCACGTACGGAGAGTACCTGCCTATACTTCTCGGCCAGGAACAAATGACAAAGTATCGTTTGCCACTAAGATCAGGCTTTGCTTACGCCAATGTCTACAACACAACAACTGATGCCAGTATTCGGTCCGCCTTTGCTACAGCGGCTTTCAGGATGGGGCACTCCATGATCCGAAGCTTCCTCAACAGCTTCGGTAGATCCTACATCAACCTCGGTACGGATAGATTAAGTGAGAGCTTCGGCAACACGACGCTCATTCTAAACGTCGCCAACAGAAGGGTGGATCATTATATCAGAGGATTAGTTACGGACGACATTCAGGATTCAGACAACAAGATAACTCAGGAGGTCACCGATAATCTGTTTGCTGACGGCAATGGGGATAGCATGGATCTGGCAGCGCTCAACATCCAGAGAGGAAGAGACCACGGACTCCCCCCGTATACCAAGTGGAGGAAGTACTGTGATCTTCCAGAAGCTACCCTATTCTCAGACCTGGCCTCTACAACCCACACAACAAACGCTGTCAATCATCTTACAGAGGTATACAGGTGAGTTAGACGTCAATATAGCATTGTGTGTGTATGCAGGTAGGTACGTGAGCTGAATGACAGGTCCAAACTGAACTTGATTGATTGAGTTTGGTTTTACGCCGCTTTAGCAATATTCCAGCAATATCACGGCGGGGGACACCAGATATGGGCTTCACACATTGTACCCATGTGGGGAATCAAACCCTGGCCTTGACCAAGATGCTGAAACCTAACTTGGGATGCAGTCTTTATGAAGGTCTTTGACGCTAGCCACTTTGTTTGAACAAATTAGCACTGGAAATGAGCTCAGATTGTTACTGTCCCTTTTACAACCCATACCACGTTTGTTTTGTTTGTTTCTTGTTTAACTCCGCGTTCAGCAATATTTCAGCTATGTATCGGCGGTCTGTAAAAATTCTAGTTTGGATCAGACATTCTAGTGACCATTCAAGAGCATCAATCAACGCATTTGGGGTTCCATGAAATGTGTCAACCAAGTCAGCGAGCCTGGCCACCTGATCCTGTCAGTCACCTCATTGCTCAGGGTTGCTGAATTCTAACCCGGATATTTATGGATTCTGGATTGAGATAATGTGATATGTGTTACTGGTGTTGTATTTCAGTGTACATCACACTAACAGATGAGCGTCGATGACTACGTAATATTCCACTGGAACTGAATTTTAATCTCTAACGTCGCGATTAGAATTCTTTCCCAACACTTTGTTGTTTGTAGGACTAAACTGTTGACACTATATCTTGGTACCCAGATGACAAGGGGTGTTGCTCACAATATTAACCATTTGTTGTTTGTCTGACCCAGACTGTAATAGTTTTGGAAGACATTTGTTTGTTTGATGTTTAACACTTTACTCTGCAATTTTCCATCAAAATGACAACGATCTGTAACAAATCGAGTCTGGACAAGACAATCCAGTGATTGACTGACGACACAACTAACACAACGGGTGAACAGAATGTCAAAATTCATTTTAGATTTATCTTCTGTTAAATCCAGTGATGATATCAGCTGGATTCCAAAGAGGGAGAAAATGCATGTTTTGTTCTGCCCGTAACATCAGTATGACCCACCGTTAGGGTTCCATCTCTCTCTCTCCAGCAATATTGACGACATCGACCTATACCCAGGAGCTCTGTCGGAGAAACCAGTGCCCGGAGGAATGGTTGGTCCGACATTTACCTGTCTGATGGCAAAGCAGTTCCAGGCTCTGATGGAAGGAGACCGATACTGGTTTGAAGAGGACAACGCAAATGTCAAATTCACGCGATGTAAGTTTCTCTGTACACACGTGTATGGGTAATGTATGTATATGTGTGTGTGTGCGTGTGTGTGTGTGCCTGCATGCGTGCATGAATGGGTGGATGTGTGCACGTGTACGTTTGTGTGTTTGTAAGTAATGTATGTTTCGATACTGTTGTGTGCGTGTGTACTTGTGTGTGTGTGCGTGCTTGCGTGCGTGTGTGCGCACATGGTCGTGTGCGTTAATTGGTATACGTCTGTTTATGTTTTTTGCACGCTTGCATATGTGTGTGTATGTGTGTGCGTGTATGCTCGCGTGCGTTAGTGCGTGCATGTGTATGTTTGTGTGCCTGCGTGTGTTTGATTGTTTCCGTGCAATCCTTGTACCTGACAATATCGCGCGGCAGCATATTGTGACATGTTTGCATTCGCTCAATTAAACCTAAATTCCATTTTGCAATAACTTCAATGTAATACTAATGACAATGTGCTGCCTAGGTTCATATATTCCAACTGTCGTCCAAGTCTTCCTTTCATTGCCATGCCCAACCGTTCAACTGACCTCTTCAATGTCTCTCCCTGAGTACCCATGAAGACCCGGGTTAGAATTGATCTTCAGTAACCCATGCTCGTCGTAAGAGGCGACTAACGGCATCTAATATTCAGGCCCGCTGACTTGGATGACACATGTCATCGTATCCAAATTCCACAAAAAGATGCTCATGCTGTTGATCACTGGATTGTCTGGTCCAGACTCGAACATTACATACCACTGCCATATAGCTGGAATATTGCTGAGTGTGGCGTAAAGCAACAAACCAAACCTTCTTGGGCATTGAACACCCTGAAAACACACAGATGTTGAAGAGTATTATTTATATTTGCAGCCCAACTGAGGGAGATCCGGAAGGCGAGTCTGTCTAGGGTTGTGTGTGACAATACGGACACCTACAAGATACAGAAGAACGCGTTCGTCAAGGGATCTCCGTGAGTATATCAATTCATTAGTTAAACTGCACTACTTCAACATTGTAAGGATCTCCGTGAGTATATCAATTCATTAGTTGAGCTGCACTACTTCAACATTGTAAGGATCTCCGTGAGTATATCAATTCATTAGTTAAACTGCATTCTTCA